CTAGTCCTACTGCTCTTCTTTACCAAGGGACATTTTTAAAAAAATTTCCTAAATACTAAATTGAAATTCAATTGCAATCGTCCTTAGGTGCCAGACTGTGAAATTGGTATTTTCTCATTTAGACATTATCAGAATATATGTTGGCCCTCTGTGCATAGATATATACTGTATGTATAATTTCATTAATAATATTAATTGCAGAAAAGGTCAGTAAATGATTTCTACAGTCCCTTTCAGCCCTGAGAATCAGTTATTTATATTGCTAGCTTTACTAACATATTTACTTACTACATAAGGCAAAAAAAGACTGCACAAAATTATTCTTCTGCATAAATATTTGGTTGATTAATTTCTCACTAGCCCAAAGGTATTTAGAATTTCTGTATCTAATAAATTCCTGCCCATTAATTACTTAATGCCAAAGACACCTACCATTTTTACATAATGACTAATATATTTTAATATATTTTTTATTTTATTGATTATGCCATTACATTTGTTCTTTTCCCCCATTCATTCCCCTCCATCCTGCACACCCCTTCCTCACCATCCCCCCTTTTGTTCATGAACACGTGTCTCAAGTTCTTTAGATTCTATATTTCCCATACTATTCTTACCCTTCCCCTCTATCTATTTTCTATCTACTGTCTATGCTACTTATTTTCTGTACCTTCTCCCCCCTTCTCCTCCACCCACTCCCCTGTTGCTAACTCTCCATGTGATCTTCATTTCTATGGTTCACTCCTGATCTAGCTGTCCTCTTAATTTGCTTTTGTTTTAGGTGTGGTTGTTAATAACTGTGAGTTTGCTGTCCTTTCACTGTCCATCTTTTTTTTCTTAGATAAGTCCCTTTAACATTTCATATAATAAGGGCTTGGTGATGATGAACTCCTTGAATTTGACCTTATCTGAGAAGCACTTTATCTGTCCTTCCATTCTAAATGAAAACTGCTGGATAGAGCAATCTTGCTTGTAGGTCTTTGGTTTTCATGACTTAGAATACTTCTTTCCAGCCCCTTCTTGCCTGTAAGGTCTCTTTTGAGAAATCAGCTGACAATCTGATGGGAACTCCTTTGTAGGTGACTGTTCCCTTATCTCTTGCTGCTTCTAGGATTCTCTCCTTCATTGTAATCTTGGCTAATGTAATGACGATGTGCCTTGGTGTGTTCCTTCTTGAGTCCAACTTCTTTGGGACTCTCTGGGCTTCTTGGATTTCCTGGAGTCTATTTCCTTTGCCAGAATGGGGAAGTTCTCCTTTATTATTTGTTCAAATAAGTGTTCTACTCATGACTGTTCCTCTTCCCCTTCTGGTACCCCTATAATTCTGTTGTTGGAGTGTTTAAAGATGTCCCGGAGGTTCCTAAGCCTCTCCTCAGTTTTTTGAATTCTTGTTTCTTCATCCTTTTCTGTTTGGTCATTTTTTTTTCCTTCTGGTCTACTCCTTTGATTTGAGTCCCAGTTTCCTTCCCATTACTATTGGTTTCCTGTGCATTTCCCTTCATTTCAATTAGTTTAGCCTTCATATGTTCCTCTAATTTGTGACTAAAATCAACCAGTTCTGTGAGCATCCTGATCACCAGTGTTTTGAGCTGTGCATCTGAAAGTTTGGCTATCTCTTGGTGCTTAGATTTATTGGCTCTGGGGCTCTGAGTTGTTCTTGAGCCATGTTTTGATCTGTTTGTGCCTGTTACGCATGAGGAGAGGCACCTTAGTTGTTCACCAGGGTGGGGCCACCCAGGTCACTGGTTTGTGACGCTGTATGTGGGGGCGGGGTCAGAGAGAGAGCAATGGCAGTCCTCTCCACTGGCCTGGTCCACCTCACCGCCTGCCCCCTGCCTGTTTATCTGAGCGCAAATGTGCGAGCATGCTGCCCTGTGCTGGGGCCTGCAAGGTCTGTCTCAATTCGCGTCTCTTCACTGGTTTATCTGCATGCAAATTCGAGGCTGGCTGTCACTGCACCTTCCCTGGGTCCGCCCGTAGCTACCCTGCACCTGGGATCCGCGCTCTTGGCTGCCGCGAGCCGCTGGGGTCAGGGGGTTTTTTGCCCAACCCGCTCTGCTGCTGGCTTCGCCCCTCTTACTGGTTTAGCTGAGCGGTTCATTGTTTTCGGATTCCATATTGTTCGATTTTCTGGGGTTTGGTTGTGTTTATTATTGTTAAAACTTTATTGTTTTTAGATTTGGTTGTTCGAGGAAGCAAAGTGTTTCCACCTACACCTCCATCTTGGCGGAAGTCAACTAATGCATTCTAATTGCAACCACTCTGTTGAACCTTGGTAGAACTTTTGTCCCAGTATTAATAGTATGAGAATATATAAAAATGGATATTCTTTTCAATTATATTACAAAGAACTTAAGAACAAAATGATTATATCTTTTTTAAAAATAAAAAAGAAACTTACCAACAAAATAATTAGCAAGCAAAATATATCCAGAGACACTGAAAGAAAGAACAAACTGACAGTAAGGGGGAGAGAGATAATGGGGGAATATAGGGGAAGGGTCATTAGGGAGCATGTGTAAAGAACACATGGACAAAGCCAAAGAGGGTAGGGTCATGGGTAGGAGGCAGGGATGGGTGGGGCAGGGGCAGTGGTGGGGAAAAATGGAGACAAATGTACTTGAATAACAGTAAAAATTATTACCATGTACCTAATAATGAAGGGTTTACATATAGCAGACAATATCTAATCGTTCAATGACTAAAATTGGAGTTCTCAGATACTTTTAAATGAAAAGGGAGCACTTTCTTTTCATGTATGAAATCTTATAGGTATCTTTTAGGTAGATTCAGTAGAGAAATATCAAGCTCAGTGGACATTTTAATTAATAAGATTGAAAGGTAAGATTCAAGAATATTATATAAGAAAAAAGTATGTGATGAAAAAATTATAAATGGGTGCATTTTAACTAAAAGGTACTGACATTTAATTAAGCAAAAATTCAGTTATCAGTAAAAATTATAAGGAAAATGTTACTACCATTCTGGCAAATTAGGAAGAGACTTTAATTACCAAAGTTCAATTATAACATTGTTTATCAGTTATGGCTAAAGATTAATTTTACTGTTTTTGAAGTGTAGGTACCTTTTGCTGAGACACAGAAAGTGTGAATTCTAGACCCAGCTCAGCACTAATTGCCTGTGGCACTTTGGACAAATCACTTAACCCTACTGGAGGTAGTTTTTCTTTCTGGAAATTTATGAGAGCCGGACAATTTGTTTCTAAGATTGCTTCCAACTTTAACCTTATATTTGTCTGAAGATTTATAGTTAAAACTTCTTTCCTATATATTATCTGATTTTATCATCTCGACAGTTTTGTAAGGAAGGCCTAGAAAATATTATTGTTTTCCTTCTACTAATGAGAAAGTAAGCTCAGGCAGTTGAGTGATTTACCCCAGTCCCGTATGTGGCAGCCCAGCACGGCTTTCGAGATAACTCTCAAAAACCTTCTCTCTGAGAGCCAGCATACAATTAATTTTTAAAATGTCTTTTTTTCTCTATTTGAAAACTAAGCTTCAAAAGGTAGGCTCTCAGTGATAAATGTAAGCTTTGTAATTTTAAAATGGCCTAAACATTTACACCTCATGGTTTGAGCCAAGGACAGCTGATAAGGTTCAATACACACATCAACACCTATTGATTGGTAGTGGTTGCCTGAAGTGCTGTGCTGAGAATACTTTTGAGGTCAAGTTCAGGCTCAGTGGGAAAGTGTGCCATTTTAGATTAACCATGCATATACCTTGGATGATGGGGAAAGGAGAGGTGGCAGAATTACTTGTGTGGGAAACAGTTTTTTAAATGAATGACTTTAGAACTTAGTAATGTTTTATAAAGGGTCTGGTATTGACTTGCCTTATATCAAGTTTTGCAACTAGTACTGTTAAAAAAGTTTAACTTTTGTCATGATTGTTTTCATAAAGAATGAACTTCTTAAGTTAAAATACTTCATATGAACATTTTCATTTGTAACCCTGATGTGAAAAAAACTGAAGTTGCTTCTAGTTAGTCTTAATAAGCAATTTTGCAGCTTGATCTGAGACCTTGAGGGCATATATTTAATGTATATATTTTTGTACATAATACATTTATACATGTATATGTACACACATATTAACAGGTTTATTATGTAGGTATTTATTATGTTTACATGACATAATATAATAAACATATTATGAGCAGTAAACACCAGTGGGGTCTGGATTACTCCATGTAAACCGGTTACAGTCCTTTAAAAAAGGTTGAAGATATTGTGAATCAGTGGCTGCTATTTTTTCACTGGCTGCTATTTATTAACTGCCTACTGGGTGCTATTCTTCTGTTTGCTGTGATAGGTGCTTTACATTCTCTTTATTTCTCCCCTAAGCCTTACCAACACTTTCTTTTTGAGTTAAGCTTGATTATTTTCTATTGAGCAATGAACAACTACACCATAGGGAAATTTAATAATTGTATAGGATGATATGGCTAAGAATATTGTAGAGCCAGAATTCAGACCGAGTTTCGTCAGTTTTCAAAGCCTTTTTTCTAAATAACATCAGGTCATGTCTTGATGAAATTTGAAGGTAAAGATGTTTCCCAGTGATGGTCTATGTTCTATATGCATCTGATGACAACTTCTGGGTTTTCATTTACTGGCTTTAAGTGTTGTAGAGCTTTGGGGAAGAAAGTGAGGCACGCCAAAAAAAGAGATTATTTTCCAACGTTTTCCAATGTGACACCACTGAGTGGTTTTCTTGTAGACTGTAATGTTTTGTCTAACAGGCACTACTTTGGGTTTGGAGAATTTATTTTAATTGAGACAAAGACTTCCCTGAAGAACTTTTATTATTGGGGAAATGTATGTGTGTAGTGTTTTTCTGCTATTCATGAACTTAAGTTTGGTTCAGAAATGAAAAGTATCTTGCAGTTTTGTGAAAATACATTATCAGCAGAAGCATGCAAAGTGGTCATAACTCAAGCCATAAGTGTAATTGGGAATGTCATTTTCTGTTTTCCAGATTCCTTGGTGTTACTCAGTTTTCGCCTACACATGCCAGAAAGGCATTTCCTTGTTTTGATGAGCCCATCTACAAGGCTACTTTTAAAATCAGCATCAAGCATCAAGCAACCTATTTATCTTTATCCAATATGCCAGTGGAAACTTCCGTGTTTGAGGAAGATGGATGGGTTACGGATCACTTTTCACAGACCCCTCTCATGTCCACATATTATTTAGCCTGGGCTATTTGCAACTTCACATACAGAGAAACTATCACCAAGAGTGGGGTTGTAGTAAGTATTTTAAACTTAATGTTTTTGGATTATGCACACTCTGTAGACTAATCTGACTTCTGGATTAACAATAGCATTGAATTATTCCTATGCTCTTTCACATTTGTGTGGTTGAACTTTTTACCTAACCCTTGAGAGAAAAACTATCTTCCAAGTTTCAAGGAGTTAGATGGGAATGTCTCTTCTATACCCAGCCCTCTTATTCCTTTAACCACCTCCCCCACCCCTGTCATCTCTGTCCCTCTTCATCTCCTGACAGTCTCTGGAATAACTGTTGTTTTGGGAAATTGCCTGTTTCTATTTATGTGACTGAGAAAGTTGCTTCTTTTTATTATGAAATATTTCAAATATACAGAAAAATGTAGAGAATGACATACTACACTTCATATACCTGCCAGCAGCTCTACAGAATATAAACATTTTACCATCTTTGCTTCAGTCTAATTAATTTTTGAAAAAGTAAAACATACTGCATTGAGTTGAAGCTTTCTTTCTGTGTACCCCTGCCTGATCTTATGCCTTTCCCTCTTCCTTAGAGATAATCACTGAATTTGGTATTTGCCATTTCCATGTACATTGTTTTGCATTTAGTAAGTATGTATATATCCACTTATAATACATGTCATGCTTTAAAATTTCACACATATAAATGCTCTTACTGATATCATCCTGCAACTTATTTTTTTATTTCATTTTATATTTTGCTTAAAGTAATGTTTTGGTGGTATCTGAATAGAGTGGTTGAATGAATCCATCAAAATGTATCATCCTCTAGATGAACATTTTAATTTTTCTGATTTTCAATGATTAATAGCAACGCTCCAGTGAACATTTTTGTATATAAGTTCTTCTGCCAATGTGCTAGAATTTCTGTATGGTATAAAGCTTCTTTTAGCCCATAACACCCAAATGTATAAAAATACATTCCTAGGAAGGGGCAGTATATAGGAGTCTGGAGAATTACTGTTTGTGTTCAATTTATAATAAGAATCAATTGGACCTTCTATGAGAGCTACTGGTTGTGACACCATAGTGTTCCAGTGGCACTTTTTACATGCTATTGCATTGCATTAATGAAACTACTTCAGCCATGCTATTACTAACTTCCTCCTCATTTCAATGGCTTACACAATAAATATGCATTTATTTTAATTTTCATGTCAAATTCTAAAGCCAGGTATTAGAATTCCACTTTTGCAGATGAGTAAACTGAGGTGTAGAGAGGTTCAGTAACTCTCCCAGGGTCACAGAGTAAGCAAGTGGTAGAGCCACAAGTGAAGCCTCTGTTGGTCTGATTTCAAACTTGAGGCTTTTCCGCCCCTTGCCCCAGGAGCTGTGTCACCGTTCCACCTGGGTGTCTACAGCAGAATTCAGGTGATGATTATCTCCATCCAATGGCCATCATATTCAATGTTGCTTGAACATAACAAAAGAAGTGAAAGAAATCTACATCCTTATTCTGTAGGAAGTTCATAGCTCTATAATAACCTAAATTTTGAAATATAGGTTGGCTAAATAATTTTTTCTCACTATTACTTTCAATTTAAATCGCCGTGGAGCCTATTTTAAAAAATCTGCCTGCATAAAAAATTCATGCCATTATTGAAGAACTACAAATTGTGAATTCATGTAGAAAATCATTAAAAGAACTTCCCAAATGCTGGCTATAGAGGACTGGATGACATTTTACTCTTTTGATCTGTTGAATTCCTCTGATGTTTTTGATGTTTGGGTATTTGCAGGCTGAACACATTGGACCACACACAGAAAAGGAACATGAAGACATCTCATTTCCTTTTACATCCTCGAAAGATGATGATTGACTTGCTTTGGGGTCAGCTGGCAGCACAGGGTACAATGGAAATGTTTTTTCCAAGTATATTTTCCTAAAAGTGTTCTCAGCCCTTTACAATTATGCTGGCTGCAAAATGACCCATGTTTAAGTGACCCAGACACACTCCAATTATTTAGACATGGATTAGTATTAGAGTTAAAAATCTAAGCAATTAGTAAACATTTTAAAATTCCTCCTTAATAATTTTTATGTAAGAAAGATAAAAAAGGCTACTAGAGAACATTGAAAGATCAACTGAAGTAAAATGTTAGATTGTATAATTGAAAAATACTAAGAATTGTAAAAAGGAAAACACTCTTACCATTGGGAGCCCTTACTTATCAACTGTGGAAATATGGTTAAAACCTGGTCCTCTTTTTCTGTCACCTGTTGGAAATCCAATGTATTTTCTTTGAACTGCCTTCCCTCTCTATTACCAGGAGCGCATGGGATGGGCATTTGTCAACTCTTAACAACTAGAAGGAGTGGAGTTTTGACTTTAAAATATTGGAGGTGGGAGGGCTGTGTGAAGTCCAGGTGGTCATTTTGGATGAAAGTCTGAAGCAGTTTCCTTCAGGACATGAGAGAGCAACTTGAGCAGCATCTTAATAATACACAGCTGAATTATAGCAGTGCCCCAAGTATGCATATTTGAAGTATCATCATTATTTTCTTATCAAGTTATCTACACTTTGCAAGGCACTAGCCTAAGTAATTAGAAAGATAAAAAACAATCTTATATCCCTCTAGTACTGAGATTGCAAATGCAGCTTTTGGATTGAATCTATGCCTGCAGACATGTTTTGTTTACCGATCCCTAACATGGTTTAAAATTTTTATAATTAGTTGACGACATTTAGAAATTGGGAGATTGCACATAAAATTATTTATTTCTGGCTTCTATTGGAAAATTGGAAGAGCACGGGGTTCACATTACTGCTTAGCTCTATTTGATCATTCATTTATTCCTTCAACAGATATATATTGACTGAGTGTCAGGTATGGTTTTAGGTACAGGTGATATTGCAGTGAACAAAGCAGACAAGGTTTCTACTCTCAAAAAATTTATGTCTTAATGAGGACACAGTGACAATAAACAAATACATATATCACATGTCAGATGGTGATACACGCATGCTGTAGGTGAGTGGTGGCTGGCCCATTTACATGGGGCAATGGCTTCCCAGTATAACTAAATCAGGACCACTTTTATAACTTTGCATCTAGTTCACTGCAGTATTGTGCATCACCTGCTTTCATTCTGCGGATGTTTGGATTTTCAACCCTTGGCTAGGGATATAATTCAAGAGGGTAGTAGCCAAGGAATGTGCATTGGAAAAGCAATGAATGTACTAATTGCAAATTAGTGTTACTAGCATTCACTATCAAATGACAGTTGTAAAAAATAAAGACAGTTTTGAAGATGGATAACTTGGATAACTAGATATGTATTTCATGGGGGAGATAGAATTTAATATGGCCGCAAATGATGGCTTTGTCTTGGAGAAGCAGATGAATGTGAGCATATAATCCTTGGCAGGGGAAGTATTAATAAGAGATAGGGATATTTATGGGAAATAGGGTAGATTTATGGTTATAAACATGTATTTTAGAATAAGATAGGTTTGTTTTAGAAGTTTTACTTTGCTTCTCTATGCCGTTGATTAGTTAACTTTGTCCTGGTTTTCTTGTTTGAAAACTTAAAGTATGAATTCTTCCTTTATAATTTTGTTTCAGTTACTATCATGGCATAATAAACTACTCCAGAATTTAATGGCATAAAACAACCATTTAATGTGCTAAAAGCTTCTGTGAGTCAGGGATTTGGAAGGGCACAGTGGGGATACTGTCTATTCTCAGTTATGCCAGGGACCTTGGTTGGGAAGACTTGATGACTGGGAGACCAGAATCACCTGGACCATCTTCACTAATGGGTCTGGTAGTTGTTTTGCAGTCTTCTGTGAGGTCAGCTTTGGCTTCTGGTCCATAATAGCATTTCTAAGTGTCCTTTAAACATAATCTGGACTTACTCAAACCATGGTGGCCTCAGGGTGGTTGGACTTCTTACATGGTAAAATAGCTCCAAAGGTGAATGTCCCAACAGAACTAGGTTAAAGCTATGTGACTTTTTTTTTTTTTTTTAACTTATCCTCAGAAGTCTCACAGCATCACTTTTACTGATTTTTAATGGTTACAAGTAAATCACTAACGTGGTCTTGATTTGATAGACAAGAACATGGACCTGACCTCTTGATGGGGAGTGTCAGAGAATTTGTAGACTTGCTTTCAAAACAATATAGTCTGCTCTCTGGTTACAAACCATTTACATTCATCCTACATACAAAATACACTCACCATGAGTCTGATTCATTATAGCATCAGACTCAAGTTTAAGGTCCAGGATCTCGACATCTAATTTAGGTCTGGGTGCAGATGAGACTACTTTGGATTGTTTTCTTAGGCATGGCTTCTCTCTTTCTAAAGACCTATGAAGTAAGGAAATAAACGATCTATCCCTACTCCCCTCCCCTAAGAGACAATGGTAAGAGGAGAATATGATTATTGCAATAGATATTTCCATTCAAGAATAGAGAAAATGAAAGGATACAGTAGTCGCTGGCCCACAACAGTTTTGAAATACAACTGGGCACATATTGGCAATTCCTTAATGATGACTCATTGCTGCTTCCTGTGCGTTGTTCTTTCTGGAGATTGGCCCCAACCTTTTAGCTCTTAATTTTGTCTTTTAAGGCATCTTTTCTCCTCCAATTAAGAAGTAGTTTGTGTTTACAATTTAAGAGCCTTCTGAGCTTGCTTCCTACCAGTAAAAACTTGGGGGTCCAAAGTCTTATTTTTCTATTGTATTGGCTCTGTTGCTTTAAGTCCAAGCAGGCATAAAATTTATATCATTTATAATGATATAAAAATGTTGGTTTTCTATGTGCCAAGTTATACCCATTCCATTAAGGCAAAACTATCCCCACAGATCTCTTTGTCTACCTTGAGGCTTTTGCCTTTAACATTCTTAGATGTTTTATTGTTCAACAGAGAGTGTCCCTGAGGCACACTTTTACAATCCTCAGAAAGCCCTTTGTCTTTCTGAAAATGTCTATGGGACATCATTTTAAGTGTGTCTGAAGTCTTAAGTTTCTGAAGTCACATTCTT